TTTGTACATGTAACTATGTTTGTATTAAATTAATAAAAAATTAATATTTAATAATAGTTTTCATAAAACTAGCTCTCTCACCTAGGTGGGGTGCAGTGGGGTGGGGTGGGGTTTTAAAGTCAAATCCGTAAAATATATTTTATTTTACACATTAGGACGAATTCTAATAGTAAATTATTTATTTATTTTTAACCTGTTCATTTTTGAATGTAAATTACTGTATTTTTATATACCTGATACAGTAATACTATACATAACTTTTATTCTACTAATGAATACAATCCTTAAGACATGAATGCAAAGGTTCTACCCTAAAAGGCCTACGACCTAGATGACCTACTTTGACATAAAATCTAAATATTTTTTATTTCACTGTATTAATGTGGACCAAAGTTGAGATCTAAACTGGCACAATAGTATTACATAAATTACGCTAACATATTTGACGTAATATATACAATATGAGGATTTATTGCATAATTGTTTGTGAAATTTTGAAAAATGTAAATAAACATTGTTTGGTAAGTATATAAATTACTTAAATCAGTTTAACGTAATTGTTAACCAATTTAATGAGCGCCAAACATAATTAAACTTATTTGACCTACTTATCACTTTTAATTAACAAGTACATTCAAATTTTGTAAAAGTAGGCCTTTTAGGCCGTAGGCGTTTTGGGCGAGTCCGGAATGCAAACCATAAGAATAGAGAGAAAATCGATACAAATGAGAGTCAAAGCCGAAGTGAATTAAACACAAAATCAGTGAATCAGTGGTGAAGTCGAGGACCACTTCTGGTGCGAAGCAAGGGCTCAGATCCGCCGGGAGTGATGGCAATAACGATGAATCTGATGGTGAGGGCGATGACGGTTCCGGTGATGAGTCCGGAGCTAATGAGGACACAAATGGTGGCCAGAAGTCGAGGAAAGGATATAAAAAAGCGGCCAAACCTTCGCAGCGCTCACGAATACTGCGATAAAGGGATGACCAAAGAGTTGGTAGTCTTTGACACAAACTTTAAGCCACTTTCAGATAATTATAATCATTATGAGGACAATTGTCTGCGACATTCGTTGACTTGTTTCACATTTTTTTAAATATCAAAAACTTTTATTCTATTCAAGTGTTATTTAACTATTTCCAGTGATTTGTAATATCTATTAATGTTTATAATAAAATATTTTCAGATTTTTGAATACAAAATAAGTTTATATTTTATACATAATGTTAAATAGTAATCATAATCACTAACTCGTAATTGTAATACTGATTGTAAAAGTAAATTAACAAATAATGAGTAATTTCGCGATTTTTAAATAATATAAGTTAATACTATATTTGTATGACTTATGGATTAGCACTGATTATAAGAAATCTATCTATTAAATGATAAATTATCAAAATTTAATTGTATTTAAAATAATTTTAAGCTTTTCCGCAGTTTTTGCGTCAATGAAAGTGGTGTCACATGTCGTGTGATAACTGTTGTCAAGAATTGATAGAAAAATGAGTTGTCATTAGATTTAAGTCTATTTAATGTTGGCTTTAATTCCGTATGATTTGTGATAATATTCCTATCGATAGCCCACTCCTCATATTTAGCCAACAATTCACTGCATTCCGGGCGTGTAGTCCAATTGGGCAAGATCATTTTGGACAACCATTTGTATAACTGAGACACTGATGAGTTTAGAGTTTTATTATCCCGTGAATGTGATTGCGAGCTATATATAGGCAGAAATAAATGTTTATTTTAAATATTTTGCAATAAATGAATCACGTTATAATTTTAATATCATACATTTTTGATCCAATAAGCAGAACATCCAGGTCAAATAATTCACCACAAATTAGTGCCAAACTATATATATCGGATTTGTGGTCATATTTTCTACCCTGACCAACTTCCGGTGCCTGATATTCTAGTGTCCCTCTGTCTGCCGTATGTTTTTGTGAAGTCCTGTTGTGAATGCGTTTGTCGTGAACTGTAGCCAAACCGAAGTCACATAACTTAATAAATCTGCCGTTTTCTACATTATAGGCAATCACTATGTTTTCGGGTTTGAGGTCTCTGTGAATGATCTGTGGATTCAATTCATGTAAATATTGAACGCTTTCTAAGATCTGTCGAAATATTTCGCATGAAATGAAATACTCGATGCAATCCATGGGATCTCCCGATTGTCTCTCAAATACTTGTGCTTTGACTTCAAGTATATGTCGAAGACTTTGTGAACACAACTCCATCTGAATGTAACCAAAATCCGGTTCACACCATGAGTGGTAATATCTGACCACATATTCTGATCTAACATTCACTAGATTTTGCACTTCTTTTTCATCAAAATCTGAATATTTATATTAAAGTAAATTAAAAATTATTTTACAACTAAATGTTTTTAATTACCATTAATTTCAATGCGTTTGACGGCAAATACTTGTCCATCAAATTTGTGTTTCACTCGCAATACTGTCCCAAAACCACCCGATCCTATGACCTCCAACTTATTAAATGATTTATCATAAGATTCATTAAACCGATGTTTATAATCAGTTTCAATGTGATATGTTCTGTATGTTATTTGGTGTACATTAGCGTAGAAATTAATAAAATTATTATACTTTGTTTCAATTAATCTATTTACGTATATGTGATATAACTTGCAGTTTGCCAACATAACTGTATAATTAGTATAATACGAGTCAATTTCTGCTATATCTATAAAATACTTTTTTGTTTTCATTTGTTTTGGTAGAACAACATTAACCTTATGTATATGACTTGAATAATAATATCCACAAAAATATATGAAACCTTTGTTTGATAGAAAATACGTTCTAGAAGTGCACGAAGTAATAGATTGGATATCATTTATAGTGGATATCAGTTTAGGACTAAATATTTTTTCATTTTGATCATTCAATATATTGTGTCCCAATTGGTGGTTACAATTGAGACCCCAACTGAACACAAGTCCGTCACAAGTGATGGCAAATGAAAGAAAATAATTGCAATAAATTTTTTTAATTTTGGGATTATTAGGGAATTGTATTAGAATTGGTTCAATAATCCTATCATTATTTTTGTCTCCACAACCAACCTGTCCCACATCGTTACGTCCCCACCCATACACCTGTCCATTGGATGTGAGGGCCAGTGAGTGATGTTCACCACAATTGATTTGTTGGACATCTTTGTCATCGAAATAGGATATTCTCTCGGGTTTTAAATAATCCACTTTTGGTGTCACATCTCTACCCAACTGTCCAAACATATTTTCCCCCCAACTAAAGATATGGTTCTCACTATTCATAGCCAACACAAAGTCATATCCGATAATAAATGTCTTAATGTTTTGATGACATAATTCTGGTATAACTTGTGGTGAATCAATGGACTTCATGTGACCCAATCCAAGAGATCCAGTCATATTAAAACCCAATCCATACACCATATCATCGGTGGTTACGAATAGTATATTTTCTACATTAGATAATTTTCCACCTAAATGCCCAAACTTAAAAACATGAAATAATTTAATTTCTTGTTTCACATTTGAATCGATTTTATCACAAATTTTAAATTTCTCTAAAATTGAGCACATTTTCAAATTTAAAACAAAAGTGAATTTATATTAAAAATATTTATTTTGTTATGTTAATTGATAAACAAATAGATTTATTACTTTAATACAAATTATTCAGTTGTTAAATACTGTTTTCAAAAATCACATAAAATAGCAAAAAAATTATAAATATAAAATTTCAAATTAATAAAAATAATCATTTATTATATAAATTATATTTAAAACTAATTTAATTATTAGTTTACTGAACAGTATTGTAATAAATGAATGCAATTGTTGTTCACAAATAGATTGTTATTATAGCAACAGATATGCAATCAATTCACTCGTATTGTCTTAATATGTCTAAAATGCCAATCCATTGTATATTATATAAAATACTTTTATTTAACCTTTGAATTCAGAGATTATATAAAAATTATCTAAATTGTAAGATATTATAACAAAGGGAGGGCTGGGAGGACAGGGATGAGGTAGTGGTGGCTGAGTCTGAGTCGTGAAAGTACTATTGGGACAGCGGTTCATAATCAATGAGGACCTGAGTATCCGCTCAATATCCAAATGAGTCGTGTATTTAAGTCGTTACCGAGTGATCCCTATCCCCCATACCTTCCCCAATACTCAACTCCCGTTCCCCGTTAAAGGTCAATTGAATTTTGTGTTAAAAATGATTTAATTAGTAAAAAGGCATTTTATATTATATTTGCAATGTTTGTGTTTTTGTTGGGATTTTTATGTAAATAAGTGTAAACTTTTGTATTTTATTTATTTATTCATATTTATAGTCAAGAATTGATAGAAAAATGTGTTTTCATATGATTTCAGTCTATTTAATGTTTCGTCAAATTCTCTGTCATTCATCAGAATATTCCTATCGATAGACCACTCGTTATATTGAGTCAACAGTTGATGGCATTCCGGCCGATGATCCCATTTGATGGCAATCATTGTAGACAATAGTGGATAACTGGTTATAATTTGGACATGGGTGAGTTTAGAATTGAAATATTCAATGAATATTTAAGTGAACTATAGAAACATGAATAAAAATTTTTTTATCAATAACATATTCATACTAGGGTGGAACGGAAAGTCTACAAATTATATTTATTTTTTCAAATATTTTGGAAGTGTTACAAGATAATAAATTTTTTATTCGATCATCAGTCAATGTAATTACCGCGAGTCAGTGCTATGGCGCGCCAACGGTCAGGCAGCATACTAATACCAAGTAATACATGCTTTTGATTAATGTTCCGAATTGTTGCTTCATAATCGCGAATTAGCTCATCTTGACTCTGGAACTGCTTCCCCTTATTAGGAGCTTTTATACGATATATCCCATCCATATCCGGCGTTGACATATCAGGACTATATGGCGGGTGTTCTAATTCCTTCCAACGATTTTCTTGTAAAAACTCCCGAACTATTCGATGTTTATGGGGTCTAGCATTGTCATGTAAGATAATAGGCTTTGCCATTTTCTTTCGAATAACTTCCGAGAGCACTCGACGTTCAAGAAACTTAAGATAAACACCACTGTCTACGGTTTGTCCATTGGGTAATATCTCGTATGTAAAGACTTGCTTCTTCCAAAGTGCCACGATCATTATGCACTTCCATTGCTGAAACTCTGCACGCAATTTCTTTGGTCTGTGATAAGTAAGATAGAAATCCGGTGTTTGAAATTTGTATAAATAAAATTTTTTTAAATCTTTTGTACTTACGGCTTTTGACCAGGGAGCAACCATTCGCTACTTTGTCTAGCATCCTCAGGGTCATATAATTTTAACCATGTTTCATCGATTCCAATTATTTTATCTAGAAAACCAGATTCCTTTTGATACCTTGCAAGATGTTTCCCCGCAATATGTCGTGCTTGTTTTTGTCGTTATGTGAGTTCACGTGGGATCCACCTTGACTTTAATTTTTTTGCCTTTAATTCGCTTAATATTGTTAATAAACTCGTTTTTGGTATTCCGGTTTCATACAAAAGATCGTTTGTTCTCATACCATCACTCTCTAGAATAAGTTGTTTTACTTGTTCTTTCATATTTTGAGTCGTCTCACGTGGTCTACCTGAGCGAGGTAAATCACTTATATCTGTGCGGTTTCCACCCTCAAAATCATTATACCAATTATACACCGATTTTTCATTCAAATATGTTTGTGACAAAGCAGTTGCTAGCTGACTAGCAACTACCCTTGGAGAGGTATTCAACAACACACATATCTTTATAAACGCCTTCTGTTCTTCACGTGAAACACTATCGCGAAGTTCTTCCAAATTGGGCAAATGGGGGTATTGACATTTTTTAATGCCAAAAATAGAAGGATTAATTTAACAAAGTGATACTCAATTATTACGCAGTAGACAAACAACTGAACATATATAGACATTTACTTAAAAATATAATTTAATAGATAAGAAGTTATCATAGGGTTCAAAGTTTGTAAAGACTCCGTTCAATGTAATATAATAATTTTATAATTACCTAAGCATTGTTTCATTAATAAGTGCCAAGGTTACATCAAATATTTCACCACCAATGTTTGCCATATTACAAACATCAGATATGTGACCTGGTTTATATCCCCGAGCAATTTCCTCGGCCTCTGCCTTAGGATTATGGTGTGCATGATATTAGTGTTCACAGCCATAGCCATAGCTAACTTTTGTGAATTATTTGCATAAAAGCGGGCATTAATTACAGCCAAAAATAAACTCCAGAAAGAGGAGGCGCCCACTGTTATAGTGCGACAGTTGCCCAATGGGTTACTCCATAAGCTAACCGCCGATATCGGGGACATGAAGTGGGGGTCAGGAGACGATCGTCGATGGTGTCGAAGATATTCTGGAGTCAATACAATCAGACAAACAATGATCAGATTAATAGCAACAGTAATATACACTTCAATACGGGTGTTGTGGTGACTGAGCCCCCGGACCGGGCCCTCCAAGTGGACCGACTGTTTCGTGTCGTATATCCCCTGTGTTTCGCTGTCTTTTGGTCCGTGTATTTGTCGACTAAAACTAATTTGTCATAAAAGTATGATTTTTCACAAATAAAATTGAAATAAACTTAATGTTTAGAAAAAAGTTTGTCTTATTTTTATTGAAATAATCATTTTGTTAAACATAATATTATTATACATTAATTTATAAGGTTTGAAATGATAGTAAAATTGTGTAGACATACTGTCCCCATATATCTCATAAGTAAATTAAAAGTTGTCTTTGCATGAAAAACAATTGAGATATAACTTTGTACTAGGCCAATTCACAACATACTTTAATTATCAACCAAAAGTTATATAATTTTTATGATTTCATTGGTGTACTAAATGGACAGTTGTTTTCAGATTAATTATTTCATACGCTAAAATAAAAATAAAATGTTCAGTGCATTCATAAATAGTTTAATAGATTACAAATATACCTTGTTCATCTATTTAATACTTTATTATTTTCAACATATTATTTAACTTTATTTTTTAAAACTATTATTTGTACTCCATTTCTCATACACTGACAAAATAATAGAAATAATTTATGAATAGCTAGTGTATAATCATAATGAGAATATAGCATTTGTTCGGGATCAGTTTTATAACGTTTGATTATAATCTACCTTGGGAATAAAACTTAATACTTAAACCACTAAATATTACTTAACTTGAAAGTAACGATTGATTAGTTTGTCATAAGTATCACATAATTATCAAACTTTTTGACAAAATTTTTGAAACATTTTCAGTCATAAAATGATTTTCAAAGCAATAGTTTTGTTCGTATTGTACGTAAGTCTGTCGGAAGGACTGGTAGGCTTCCGGTGCCCCAATCCTAAAGCCATAAACCCGTGTAGATGTGACCCAAGGACTCGTGAGATTCATTGTATCGGCTCCGGGA